CAATCCTAATTAAACCAACACTCAGGAATAGTTGCATATAAAATGAGTGTGATACAGAGAACTGAACACAGTAACGGGGGAGGGGGAGAGGCATGCTTGAATGGAGCTGGTTTATCCTCATGGCTAATTCCTGTCCGGAAGGATGATGGAAATTTTACTCCGCTTTTTCACAGGTCCAAGTACAGCTGACATTGTTCACGACACATTCCACCACTAACTTCCGCTTTCCAATCTTCTGGTTCTGGCGCTTTCCTTCCCGTCCCATTCCTGATGTTGGACCAATGCACTGTTTACAAAGTTGCAGGTGGCCTGAGTTATTGTGCCATCGGCTGTAATTTCTTCAAACTTGTCTCTCAGGTTGCATGAGCACTGTGTCACCTTCAACGTGCTCTCAGTTTTTACCATGAGGTTTTGGCCATCAGAGGTGATGACGCAGTCTGGTTTGGCCATGGCGCCCATTCCCACGCCCAGTTCCTTCATGTACGCGGTGAAGCCTTTGTTCTCCACGAAGAGCCATCTGCCTACCAGCTGCTGAATGGAGATCATGGTGGGCACGGGAGGCCTGTGGGCCACATGATGGGGAGGTGGAGGCAGTGAACTTGAGTTTGGTGTGTGAACCTCCACTGTAGACTTTTGTTTAAAGGACTAAGGGAGGCCGAAACCGGTTTGGCTCAGTGGATGGAGCGTTGGCCTGCGGACTGAAAGGTCCCAGGTTCGATTCCGGTCGAGGGCATGTGCCTGGGTTGCGGGCACATCCCCAGTGGGAGATGTGCAGGAGGCGGCTGATCGATGTGTCTCTCTCATCGATGTTTCTAACTCTCTATCTCTCTCCCTTCCTCTCTGTGAAAAATCAATAAAATATATTAAAAAAAAATAAAGGACTAAGGGAGTGCTTGCTTTGGCAGCACATATACTGAAGTACTAAGGGAGCAGGGAGAACAGAGCAATGAGCAGAGAAAGGTGGGGGTGGGTGACCTTTGAGTTGGGTTTTAGAGGATGAATAAGGCATCACCAAAGGAAGAGGGAGGAAGGGGAAAGAGGAAGGAACTGGAGGAAATAAGGAAGGAGGCGGATGGGCAGAGGCATGCGTGAATGGGGACAGCCTGTTTGCGGACAGGCACAGGGTCATGACAGTCTGGATTGCAGGGCATCAAGATGGCAGGATGTGCAAACCCAGGGTGAACAACCTAATGTGCCCCAGAGAGTGGGGAGCTCGGAAAATTTACAATTCCAGTTGGCCAAGGAGAAACTATAGGAGGAGGGGGAGGGGAACGAAGGTGGGAATTTGCTTATAATGAGTCTGCTCTGGAAGTTAGATGTGAAGTCCATGGAGAGGTTGGTGTGGGTTGTATCAGGAGAGTCTGGCTGTCTCTAGGATACCGCACGATGGTTTCTTGGTGCATTAAGCACAGTCCAAGGGAGGGGCCTAAATCAGAAACCAGATTCATCAAGCTCCCCGGGGGAGAGTGTCTTTCAGGGAAGATCTAAATTTTCCAAAGTAATAATAAAGGCTAATCCTCATTTTATAGTAATTGTCAAGCAAAACCAATTATTATCAGAATACCCCTAGTTCATTTACACAAGAGATATAACTGGTTTGCCCGTTTCTTCCCATGACCTAGGTGCAGTGGGTAGCTGACCGGTTGAGCTGTGAATCAGAATCAGCAGTTGGTCACGAGATAGGTTTGATAGGCCCAGTGCCTCCATCTGCATGGCTAGTGTCCTCCGGGGCTGGTCTGTACTGGCCTTGGGCCAGGTCTTCTGACACGGTCAGATTGGCACTGCCAGGGCAGGCTCTGTAACACTCCTTTTCTGTGCCTTCTGACAGACACGTTCTTTACGTGTCTTACACTCTCTGGTCAGGCTCCCCTGGCCAGTTTGGAACTAAACTGCTGTCCCAGGCTTTTCTCAACCTTAGCTAGATGTTAGAATCACACGGGGAAAATTTATGCTGCTTACTGCATACATGTATGCTCTGCCTCACCCCCAGAGATTGATTTTATTGGCCTGCGGTGCAACCTGGGCATGTGGAGTTTTACAAGCTCCCCCGTGATTTCAGGTACAGTCCAGGTTAAGAGCTTTTGCTTTAAGGCAGTGGTGCATACTTTTGCTCTGGGCCACTGAGTGTTGATTTTGCTCATAGAAGGTCACTTACCACGGACCAGGTGCCAAGTGCTTCTCAAGCATTACGTTGTTAATTCTTTAACCAGGCCTGCTAGTCAGTGAAGAAGAGCAGTAGTACAGGGGAAGGCAGTCGGGTATAATTCCACAAAGACCTGGGATCAATCCCAGCCCCACCATGTACCAGCCAGGTGACTTGGGGCAAGTTACCCAATTCCTGTGAATCTCAGTTTCCTCATCCGTGAAATGGGAAAAATAGTATCTGATTCTCAAGGTTGTGGTGAGGAATAAATGAGGCAACAGATGAAAACCAGCCAGTCCAGCAGAGTCTCGGCCGTACTGTCTCCCTTTCAATGGGAGAGACTGAGACATCGCGTTCCTTGGGGGTCCTCAAGAAAAGGGGAGCCCCCCTCATATTCTGGTCCACAGACATAGGTCAAGGAGATGAGAGAAGGTGTCTGAGACCCAGGCCCCGCTGAGAATGCTATGATCAATTCCCCTTCGCAGGATCCAGATGGGGTGAGGAGGAATGCTACAGAAGATGCAGACACCCACCTGAGCCTGAGTGGAGAAAACATCAACCATCAGCCACAGGCCAAGTGTTGGAGTGGGGACATGAGGCCAGCACCACTAAGAGGCCAAGACAAGGAGCACACACTGATACCGTGTGCGTATGTGTGTACGTGTTCGAGGGCCCTTCAGTGGGATCGTAGGTCTAAGGGTTCCTGAAGGGCCTGCATTCCCAGGTTCTCTCTCACTTGCCAGGTTTCTCCTAGAGCTTTGCTGTTCGGACCCTTTGGATTTCTCTGGGCTGCATTCCTTAAGGTCTGATGGCTTCTTTCTTGTGGTTGAAAGGATATGTTCCCAGTAGAGCCCTCCAATAGGGTTCTCTGTGCATACACTCCCTTGGGGTGGCTCAGGCTGTGCCCTCTGGCCCCCTGGGGAGCCCCATGGCACACTCCTGGGTCAGCAGGTGAGCCACAGCAGCAGAGTCCCCCACACAGCCCAGGGGTCCCCACTCCCCATTCCTGCACCTGGAGAAACAGGTGGAACAGCCAAGAGAAGCATCACTGGCTGCGCCACAGCGTTTGTTTTGGGGCAAGATGAAAGCATTTGCACCCATCATGGTCCCCATTTCTGTAAATAAGAAAACACAAGAAAGTCAAAACGATATTTATTTGGGCTGAGAAATAAAGAGAAACTAAATCACTGATCTGAAAAGCAAAATGGAAAGAACCAACAATAGCAAACGAGCTCTGCCTTAACCCTTTCCCAGCTGAGCTCTGGTCCCCATATCGTGCTATTATTCTTGAATCAAGAATGTAGCTTCCACAGTGGTTAGTCTTTGTACGAAGGTCCCTTTGCCAGAACTCAGTTCCTTTCCAACTCACTTTTTTTTTTTGAGGATTAACAAAAAGAAAAAGAAAGCAAGCTGTCCATATACCAATGTCTCTCACAAGAAGACAACCAGGGATTGTCTTTCTCTCCCACAAGACAGCCCCCTGCTGTCCTAGGCTTCCCCAGCCCAGGGACAGAGGGGGACACCGGAATTGAGGGATGGGGGAGAATTGCAGGACCTGAAGCAGCAAGGAGATCCCCCCAGGACCTTAGAGGGAAGGCCGGGGAGTAGAAGCTGAAGTAGCAAGAGGAAGAGGAGGGAGAAAGAGCAGAGAAGGAATGTGCTAGGATGACAGGGAATGAAACAGAGAAGCACCTTCCCAACAGCTGGGACAAGGGCCAGGAAGGGTCCCTACCCCGGAGGTCTCTAGAGGCCTCACCTTCATATTCAAGACCCGGGCAGAGGAGGAGCTGAGCAGGCCCAACAAAGCATGCGAAGGTACTTAATGCCATTGGCCTGTATATTTACTAGTAAAGATGGTCTGATGGTAAATCTTATGTCGTTATGTTTTACCACAATAAAAAAGAGAAAAAGAGAGAGAGGGAAAAAAAGGTACAATCACTTTGGAAAGCAGTCTGGCAGCCTCCTCAAAAGGTTAAACATATGACCCAGCAATTCCACTCCCAGCTTTGTACCAGGAGAAGCGAAAACATATGCCCACATGAAAACTTGTACACAAATGTTCACAGCAGCATTATCCATAATAACCAAAACATGGGAACAATCCACATGTCCTTGAACTGATGAATGAACAAACAGAAATGCGGTAACATTCATACAATGGAATACAATTCGGCCCTCAAGGAATGAAGTCTTGTTTCATGCTACAAAGTGGATGTGCCTCAAAAACATTCTGCTGAAAGAAGCCAATCGCAGAAGACCACATGTTGTATAGAGCTGTTTACATGTAATGGCCAGAATATAGGCAAGTCTGTAGTGACAGAAAGCTTGGTGGTTGCCTAGAGCTGGGAAGGGTTGAAGGGAAATAGGAAGTGACTGCTAACAGCTATGGGGTTTCTTTCTGCGGTGATGAAAATGTACTGGAATTAGTAGTGATCATTGCACAACTTTATGAATATACTAAAACCCACTAAATTAGACACATTAAAAGGATAAATCTTATGGTATGTGAATGATATCTAATTGTAAAAAAAAATAAAAATAAAAAACTGTTAGAAACAAAAAGTCTCCTGGGAAAAAGCTAGGCCATCACCCCAGCTCCAGCTGGCCATTCCTCTCCTCTCTGGGACAGAAACCAGCAGGTCTGGGGTCAACAAAGTTGAGTCCCTGCTGTGTCAGGCATCACAGGCTCAGGATGCTTCCAATAGGAGGGCGATGCAAAGAAGGGTGATGGAAGAGAGGGTCTTGGGGAGGAGAGGATCTTGGGAGATCAGGCTTCCTGGTGGTATGTGAATGATATCTAATTGTAAAAAAAAAATAAAAATAAAAAAACTGTTAGAAACAAACAAAAGTCTCCTGGGAAAAAGCTAGGCCATCACCCCAGCTCCAGCTGGCCATTCCTCTCCTCTCTGGGACAGAAACCAGCAGGTCTGGGGTCAACAAAGTTGAGTCCCTGCTGTGTCAGGCATCACAGGCTCAGGATGCTTCCAATAGGAGGGTGATGCAAAGAAGGGTGATGGGAGAGAGGATTTTGGGGAGGAGAGGATCTTAGTGGGAGATCAGGCTTCCTGGCCTAGTGCCCACTGCTCCCCCTCTCCACACACCCTGGCCCTCCTGCCCTGGACACATTCCCCATCCCAGGGACCACCTAGTTGTGAGAGAAGCCCCCATGAGAGAAGGCAGGGAGGTCGGGGGCACAGTCAGCAGCCTTGGGGAGGCAAGCCAGGAGGTTGACCTCACAGGCCCCAGCATCCTGGTCCCCCCGGAAATAGATGGAGTCCGCAGAATCGGAGGAGGGGTCCTGGTCAAAGAAGTTGTAGGGTCGGAGGAAGAAGCCCACACCATTCCCCACAGTCACCGTGTTGGGAACGTCCTCTGCATGTGGGATGTGCAGGAAACCAGCTGTCACCCAGGCCACCAAGTCCTAGCAGGGGAGAAGGAAGAGGATCATGAGGCCTGGCTTTGCTAAAGACACACCTGCCTCCCACAGTAGCCTGGTATGGAAGGATTCAGTTCGCCAGCCCAGGATCACTGTGAGAACGTGAAGCTTCGTTTCTTAGTGGGTTTTAAAGTCCCCGGAGGGCCCTGGCGTGGGAGAGTGAAGTGGCTCATCCTTGCTTCCGCTGCCTCCCCCAGACTCACCTGCCCTGCAACAGTTTCATTGTTGATGAAGTCAGTGAAGTCCACGGTGGGTGTCCAAGGGTCGTTCAAATTGTAGATGCTGGTGCTGCTGGGCTCCTCCTCCTTTCGCTGGGTCACGGCCAGCTGGTACCTACAGGAGGTTTGGATTAGACCCACAAGGCCATCAAACTGTCCTACTGTGTGAAGCTGCACTGAAGAGGGAACGGAAAGGAAAAATAAGCCACAAAGGTCTCTGTTCTCTTCCCATCCTCTCTCTCTGCCTGTCCCTCATAGAGTTCCCATGTCCGTTCAGTAACGTGTATCTCAAACATCAACTGGCCATTGTTCAGGCTTCGGGTCCTACTGTCGTTCATGCATCCACCTAGATTCTAGATCAGAGCCTGGGCCCTGGATGCATGGACATGGCCTGGTTCCCATTGTAGGTCAATTTCTATATTTCAAATGCCTGGGTTTTAGGGAATACCCCCTGCGATCTGTGTTCCTCTTACTCTGGCCTTTCCTCCAACACTTATTGCTAACATTTAAAGTTAAAGAACAGTGTCGTGAACACACATAGACCCACAGCCCAGATTCTACCTATAACATTTTATTGTGTTTGAGTCCATATGTGTTGCTCCATTCTCTCATCCAGTCAGTAGGCCTCATTTTATTTATTTTCACTATCACTTTTTTTGGTTAATCCTCACCCGAGGATATTTTTTCCATTATTTTTTAAAATTATTTATTTATTTATTTATTTTAGAGAGAGAGTGGAAAGGAGGAAGGAAAGGAGAGAGAAACATCCATGTGAGAGAGACATACGGATTGTTTGCCTCCCACATGTGTCCCTACCAGGGTTGGGGATCAAACCTGCAACCCAGGTACACACCCTTGATCTGGAATCAAACCCGAGACCCTTTAGTGTATGGGGCCTACGCTCTAACCACTGAGCTATCGCCAGGGCACTAGGCCTCATTTTACATGGATCAAGATTGTGGCCACAGGCTTGTGTGTGTGTGCGTGCGTGTGTGTGTGTGTGTGTGTGTGTGTGTATGAGTGTGCATGTACACCCACAGGAGGTGGGAGAACCTGGGTTCCCAGCAACATGGGGCCCTTCTTACAGTCCATCTCCCCCAGCTTCCCTCTGACACCCGGCCACTCACCTCCCCCAGCTGATGGCCCTCTCCATGGAGCTGTTCTGGGGCAGAGGCTCTCCAGCAAAACTGAGCACCTGGATGCGGTAGCCCCGAGGGTGACCCCACTTGTTGCTGTGGTTGCTGGCCAGGTACAGGTAGCGGGGGGTGGCACTTCCCAGGGGGAAGGTGGCCTGCTCCTCTGTCTCTAGCAGCTTCCGGGTCACCTGCAGCCTCTGCATCTGGTGCTCAGGGCTCCAGGGGACAGCCATGGGGACGAAGACCATGTCCTCAGCCCAGACCCAGTTCTCCAGTCCTGCCGGGGTGAGGGAAGGAGGAGAAAAGATGGGAGAAAGGAATGATCACCCACCTGGCTTCAGACTGGGGGCCAAAGAGAAGCCCAGAGCTGAATGTGTCCTCTACTTCTCTTCCTTTTCTCCCCAAGATATTCCTGATTCAGAGATTTCGAGAAGATCTCTCTCCCCGATGTCACCTCTGGTAACAATCCCAGATGCCTTGTGACTGGACCTCTCCTGACCTTCCTCTGAGAAGGAATGGTGGTTTACCTGAAGTTGAAACAGCCTAGCAGGCAATGTGCAGAGTCAGATCTTTCTGACTTGAGGAAGGTATTGTGTCTCATATCTAAAGCCCCCTGGCATCACCAGAACTACCGTACCATGTAAATATTAACAGTTATAGCTCACATTTACTGAACCTGAAGGTGCTATGCACAGGCTCATGCTGAGTGCTTTACATGTACTGGTGATTTATCTATATAACAGCCTTCTGAAGGAGGAACTACAATTGTCCCCATTTTACAGCTGGGACAACTGAGGCTTAGAGAACTTAAATAACGTGTCCTGGCTTTTCACCAAGGGGACACTGTTAGTATTGTGGCAATGCTTGAGACCCAAGTCTTCATTTGACTCTAGTGCCTACACATCAGCACATGAAGGAAACCAACAACGCCTCACCACACGACAGCAGACATGTGGGCCCAAAGTTGCTGGAGCTTGGAGGTGTTTCCCATAGTTTGAGGTTTGGCAAGGAATTAAGAGTAGGGCCAAAGGCAGTCAGTTCCCTGAATTTTGGAGAGTTTTGAATGATCTGTTAGAATGTAACTAAGTTCAATAATTGGAATCAGCTTAAATAATCTGAGACAGATCTTCTAAGGTTGGAAATTAGGAATCTG